CACCATCATCATTATCATCACCATCATCACCATCACTATCACCATTGTCATCATCACCATCATCTCCAACACCACAATCACCACCATCACCATCACCACCACCATCACCATCACTATCACCATCATTACCATCACCATCATCATCACCATCATCTCTAACACCACCACCATCATCATCATATCCTGAATTATCATCACCATCATCACCACCACCATCATCACCACCATAAGCACCACCATCACCATCAGCACCAACATCACCACTGTCATCATCAACATCACAGCCCCCATTACCATCATCATCACCACCACCACCAGCATCACCACCACCATCAGCATCAGCATCACTATCAGCACCATTGCGATTACCATCAGCATCACCACCACCATCATTATTTAGCTATAGTGGTTCAAGACAAACAATAGAGTGCTGGATTTATTTTTTCCACACTCTTCAATAGATACTTGCCTCTCCAGGGCCTTTTGATTTTCTACTCTTTTGTCTAGTTTGGGGAGCAGGAGAAGAAATTAATGGAATAGAAAAGGGTGGTTCTGGTTCCCATTTTTCCCATCTCAAACCCCAGCACAATCTAATTCCCCTCAGGCTCCGGGGCCAGGAGTCACTGGTAAGTTGGTGAAATTAACCAGTGAAAATTGTCTGGCCATAAACACAACCACTGACTGGTAGTTGGGAGCTTTGGTTACAACTGGAACAGAGGCTCAGAGAGCCACCACTTTGCTCTGCATCTTGGGAAAGTCACTTCATACCTCTTAGGCTATTTCCACATTTTTTTAAATGAAGAGATTGGATTAGATGATCTTTAAGGTGCCTCCAGGCCCTGAGATTCTACAGTTCTTCTGGCTCTGGTGAGTACTGTAAGTCAGAATGGGGGTCAGTGTCTGGGACACCAAAGTGGCTGAGGAGAAGCAGACTTTGGTTGTCATGGTGCTGCCTAATCATAAAAGCACTCGACACTGTCCTCACCACATGCAACAGCACAAACAGCAAGTGTTGGACCAGCCGTAAACTTACTGACTTCTAGGAGTCTCTACTTCCTCCTCTGTAAAATGGTAACAGTAATAACAATAATAATAGTATCCACCTGCAGGACTGTAGCTAAAATTAAACAAAATAATAAGTGCCTAGCATGTGGTAGAAACTCATTAGATGCTGATCTCCTCTCCCTCCCTCTTCTGCCTGTAAAATTCTCAAGGAATTTGAAAGAGAAATTTGGGGACGTAAAGCTCTTGGTGAGTTTGGGAATCTCTTTCAAAACTCCTTAACCACAACTTCCATTTTCACTAACCAGTTCGTGGATGATTTGATTTCCTCCCTCTAAACTACGAGCACAAGGTTCATAATATCCCTCACACTACAGTGCTGTCAACAGTAGCTCCAAGTCACTCTTCTCATCCTGGTTTGTTTTTCATCAGAGCACTTGTCACCACCTGGTACTCCATAGTGGTTATTGAAGCTCTGTGGGCATAGAGACTCGGTCTCTTCTGTGTACCTGCGCATCCCCAGTAAGTAAAGCAGCATCTGACGCCCAGTCAGTGCTCAGCGGGGAGAAGCAGGGCGAGAAAGAGAGAAAAGTGAGAGGGAGAGCGAGCGTGTGCACGCACACTAGAGGGTGGACTGCAATGTCTGGCTTATGTGTTGGTCTTGCTCAACAGACTGATGGCTCTGTGAAAACAGGGCCCAGGCCACTTCATCTTGGCATCCATAGCAACCGATACAGTATTTGGCACACAATTGCCAACTAATATTTAAGGGAATAAATAAATGAGTGCATTTATTTATGTATATTGTTTGTCTCAACACATGTGCAAAGCTTCAAGGGGAAAGTCAGTTCCAAAGAGAGGGGATATTGCTTTGCCTCTGGACCACAGCCATCCCAAAGCAGAGGTTGGCCAAGTTCAAAGCCTTGAAAAGCCCAGCCCTAACCCAGGAAAGTGCAGCTAGTCATCACCTTAGTCAAAACCCCCTAGCAGAAAAGTCAATAGTTGCACAGATTTCAAAAAAAACAGTGTGAAAAGCAACCTCAAAAGAGAAGAAAACCAGAGGCGAATGGGAACCCACTCATGTCAAAGAGGTCTTTCCTTGGGCTGCTCTCTGCACTGCTGTCCGCGGCCGGGCCGGTCTGTGGCGGGACGTGCGGGGTGTTCACGTAGGTGGGGGCTTCTCCCATAGAGGCCACGTGCGTTTTCCCTTCTGGCACGCTGTAGACGTCCAAGGACCCTGCAACAAGAAGACGAGCCCTCCTGTCTCTTCTGGTGGTAATGCTGTTCACCCATCCGTAGTTGAGCACCCAGTGTTTCAGACACAAGCTCCTTCGGCCCATCGATAAGAAAATTCCTCTTGTAGATACCCTTGTGTTCTGGCCAGGATACTTTCCAGTCATTCCTGTCAAAACGGGACCTGCCAGTCCACAACGATGGACACCCGTGATGGTTAGGAGCCTTACCAAGACTCTGGGGCCTGCCTGACCTGGGCCTGGGGAACGAGCCAGCCACACCTGCGGCAGAAGCTGCCTCAATCTCCTCATCCCCTTTACAAAGTCCCCGAGATCAAATAACCCAGCAGAAGAGCAACAAGCCTTATTTTAATTGCTTTTTTTTTAAATCATAGGTGAACACTTTATAAAGTAAGTCCATTCCAGCAACGCAATGCAGGTGCTGTGACTCTTTTTAGAAAGTTAGTTCTTAACGACCTGAGACACGCACGGAGCCGGCCTTGCTGCCCCTGGCTCCACGCAGGAGGCCCAGGGTGGGTGTGATTGAGGACCCCCCTGCCCGAGACAGTGCCCCCATGGGACTTCCCAGCTGCAAGAGTGTGTGGAGGGTGGGCTAGGGAGTCCCTGCTGTTGTCACCTAAAGAGAGTGAAGGGTGTTGAGCAGGAACGCCTACAGGATCACCATCGGATTCTCTCTACGGTGGCCCTGTCTCAACACTCTAAGACACATTCTCATGGTCACCTCCTGACATTCACATGTTATCTTTCACCCGCTATGGGCGATGGGGTGTTGAAGCCAGCTCAACCCAGCTCAATCTAATAGTCAGCTCAGGTCTTTTTAAGAAGCTTTCCCCGGAGCCCACTGTAGGACTTTTGGCAGCACACCACTGTCTCCAGCCTGCAAGTGTGAGAAGGCAGGTGTCCTGCTAAAATCTCTTCACCAGGAGCAGCTCCAGCTGAGTCCTGACGGTGTCTCCTCCTATTCCTGAACACGATTTCCTTGTTTCACAGGCTGCTCCTGGGTCACACATCCTGCCTTAGTGACGGCTATCTGCAGCTCACGCGTGTGTATGTACTGCAAACAAATCAGTCTGTAAAAAGAAATTTACAAACTAATTTTTAAGAGGAGAAGATCAAAAACCCAATGCATAACCTTCCTGACGCTGGCCCCTCCCCACTCAGATGGTGCAGGTGCTGAGGGGGGGCAGGTGGACACACGCGAGGGCAGCGCCCAGAGTCAAGTGTCATTTTGGGGGAACAGCCACTAGCAGATTAACAAGGGGCATTCTTATCTGTTCTATGGAAAAAATATTTGCTGCTTTCAAATAAGAACTTGAAATTCTTGGGTCTGCCCGGTGGTGTAGTGGCATAGGGGTCACGCGCTCTGCTTTGGAGGCCTGGGGTTCATGGGTTTGGATCCCGGGCACAGACCTATGCACCACTCATCAAGCCGTGCTGTGGTGGTGTCCCACATAAAATAGAGGAAGATGGGCACAGATGTTAGCTCAGCAACACTCTTCCTCACCAAAAAAAAAAAAAAGAACTAGAAATTTATTGAGAGTTATGAGTCTCAAGTTCCAGGATGAGAACTTGCATGAGGCTCATTTTTGCCCTGGTCAGTCTCTTAACATTGTCCGTCCTTGATCGGGCCGGAATAACTTGAATTCAAAAAATGGCCTCATTTTTAAATAAATATGACATATTTTTCAAGAGAGTAAATATCTCATGTAAATAATGTGTCTGCTTTAGTTATCAGGAGTTACGATATCTCTGTGTACACAACTGTTATATAAACACATTTTAAGTGCATAGAGAGCAAAGACAAAAACATAGCGAAAAAGTGCGTCTGGGAAAGTTCTGACTTTGGGTTGCTATTTCCATCCTGTTTGGAGGCAGAGCCAAGTGATGGTTGTGCCAGGCCTTGTTTTCATTGACTGGGTAGCACGGATGGTCATCTTCCAGCTGCAGCAGGCAAGGCACGAAATTCTCTCACATGGGGAAATTTTTTTTTTTTTTTTAAGATTTTATTTATTTTATTTTTTGCCCCCAAAGCCCCAGTAGATAGTTGTATGCCATAGCTGCACACCCTTCTAGTTGCTGTATGTGGGACTCGGCCTCAGGATGGACAGAGAAGTGGTGCCTCGATGCGCACCTGGGATCCGAACCCGGGCCGCCAGCATCGCAGCGCGCGCACTTAACCACCAAGCCACAGGGCCGGCCCTCACAAGGGGAAATTTAAAGAAATTATTGTCATTTACTCCTTGGCACAAATGACAATAATGAAGGGAGATGTCTTAATGTTAAAGCAATAAAAGTTACACTGATATACAGAGAAGCGTAAACTGGATCTTAATTCACTTGCCACTCCATCTCCTTCAGACCCCCTACAGAGTTAGTAACCAAGGGCCCAGAGCTATTTGAAAGAGTTTTGAAAATGTTGGAGGAGGGAAAAAGTTTAAAATTAAAAGAAATATTTAAAATATACATACACACACATATCCACACATGCACATATACGTACACACCGAAACAACTGTCTAGAGAAGAGACTTATTAGCAGTTGGCAGTTGGTGCTTAGACAGTCATGTCCGAGTGATGTTTAATGTGGGATGTCGGTGCATGCTCATCGGTCTGATAAGATGTGGAGCGTCACCCACAAGCACCCGGGGCCTGTGAGGGACTTGTGCCCCTGCCGCCATCTCTGCCCCGGGTAGGGGTCACTCCGTTCCTCCTGAAGCTGACCTTGGACCGGGGAGGTGAGGTGAGGCAAGGAAGGGAAGCTACTGGGTCCTGATAGGAGCCCCGGGGGCTCAGCCCTGCTGGGGAGCTTAGGGACTGCAGAGAACACATGGAGAGTCTCCCAACCAACTCCAGCTTGAAATGGGTGCAGGTGCCCCTGGGGAGGTCAATTCCTCAGCCCCTCCCGCCAGAAAAAGGCCTTCAGTGGAAAGTGTCCAGGTGCACAGGGGGTGTCAGCTGGTGCTGGTGCCAGGGAGGCATCCTCTGATGTGGGGAGCAGCATCCCCCACCACTGTCGTTTCTGGTCCTGTGATCTGGTCACAACCAGCAGCCCCCTGCCCCACAGCAGGTATTTCTGGTGGGCTACTCTGCTCCTCTGTGGGAGGGGAATGGCCCGCTGGGGAGCACACTCGCTCTGTGTGTCTTAGGTGTCTCGCCCGCCGCACCTGGCCTCTCACCTTGCCTGACAGGTGTTTGCTGCCAGTCTTCACCAAACGGGTCTCCTAGGTGTCTCCCCTGGTAATAAGTTTGCTCATTTCCTGCAAACTAAAGAGAAAAAATTATCCTCTTCTCCTCTCCCCACCTTTGAAAGCCATGCAGAGGGAGTTCACTGGCGGGGCGATTGCCTCCCCAATCGCACCCAATTTTCCCTTGGTGCCTCACGGTTGGCATTCAGATTTGGGAAATAAGTTTGTGTGGGTGTGAGGAAGAGGCTGCATCTCACCAAAGCTGCACACACACCCCTTGTTTCCATTCCCCCACCCCCTCCCTAAGTGTGAAGGTACACTGAGCTCTCCACATGCAGCCACATGTTTCATCATGCCCCAAATAAGTCTGTTAGAGAGTTTCTATGAGCCAGAACATACTTCCCGCCCATAATCACTCACACCTGGGCAAGTCCACCAGTTGATTTCCTCCCAGTGTCAGAGCTATTTACACTTGATTTCAATGTTATTCTGCCAATCTTACTGGTGTCAATGTCATTCACATAAGGTCAGTGACATCAAAAAATTCCGTGTAACAGACTAGAGGTCCCATAACTCTAGAAAGCAATTGCCTTACTAGAATTTTGAGTTAGAGGGAAAATCAGAGAAATGAATAAAATAGAAAAAAATCATAAAATTCTCACCATTTTAAAGGCCTATATCCACTGTCTTTTCAGAGAACCTCAAGCACCCTAGGCCTTTTAAACGTCTTAGACTCTCTCTTCCTCTCATTAAGATCACAGTATAATGAGATTTGTTCTAGGATGGAGAGGGGATCCCTAGACTCATATCTCAGGAATCACAATAAAATTCCAAGGCATTTGACTAACGCCTTGTGGCGTTAAAACAAAAGTCTTCTTGGGGCGGCCCGGCGGCATAGCAGTAAAGTATGCACACTCCGCTTCAGAGGCCCGGGGTTTGCAGGTTCGGATCCCGGGCACGCACCGACCCACTGCTTGTCAAGCCATGCTGTGGCGGCGTCCCATATAAAGCAGAGGAAGGTGGGCACAGACGTTAGCCCAGGGCCAATCTTCTTCAGCAAAAAGAGGAGGATTGGCATTGGATTTTAGCTCAGGGCTAATCTTCCTCACACACACACAAAAAAAAGCCTTCCCTATTGGTCTGCTCTGTGAAATCCAAAGGGAGAAAGTTTGTGAGTTATTCTGTCAAAGACTGGACAGTCTAAAAATAAAATTGAAGAAAATAAAAGGAAATAAATTCAGTTAGCCACCAACCAAGGAAAAAAGCGTAAGACTTACCTGGGCTGTGTCAGGGGCGTGGGATCTGGCTTTGAGTCGAGCATCAACAAAGCCCCCTGGAGGAGGTGTCTTGCTTGGAATGCTGTTGTAGTATGGGCGGTCTGAGCCATCACTCTCCTCTTCATTCCAGGGCTCATCCAGACTCTGCATTCTGTTAAAAGAGAATTTTTAAGGGCTTTAGCCAAAAGTTGAGCTTTCAGTCAAAAACAACAAATCTAATAATTGATAGTACCTGTTACCCTGGAAAAGAGAGTTTAATCACTGTCCCCTCAACCTCTAGGTCTCAGGCACATATGAAAAGCAGTTGAGTGGTTTGGCCAAATATCCCTGCCTTATTGACAGTTCTACCTTTTGGAAAATTCCAGTCATATTTGAAACAAGAAAGAACTCTTTTTTTAAAAATACATTTTTATTAGGAAAGAAAGAATTTATATCTAAGGATAACCAGCTCCTCAAGGCACAGACATGTTTCAATAAGTCATGAAGTTTACCCAAAGCAAAATCAATGAAAAAAAATGGAGATTTAGTGAAATCAGGGAAAATGGCAAAGACCTCTAAAAATTTTCTCTTCCAGAAAAGCAACAAGAAAACTAGCAAAAAAAAATTTTTCAGGATCAACTTTTGAGAACCCTGGAAATTAATAACCAGAAGCTTGCAGAAACCTAAGGAGTGTTTATTAAAAAACAAACAACAACAACAAAAAAAACACAACTGTAAGAACAGCAGCTTTGTGGCATTTTAACTTGCCCTATTCTCATCTCCATGGTAGTCTTGAAAACCAAGAGCCCACAATCACAGTGAAAACCAGCAGCCTGACAGCCATAGGAGGGGGCAAAACAGCATTGAGTCTCCTTCAAAGCCCCATTCCCATTCCCAGAGAACAGTCATTATATAACCTGTCTGATCATTCCCTAGAAGACCCCACTCCCAAAGCTGTCTTTATTTGACCTGATTCAGAGCTTGCACAGGGAAAAATTCTTCTTCCCCAGGGACATTTGTCAAAAACAATTAGAGGCAATTGAGGCTCCCTGAGGCAGTGGATAACTTTTGAGGCAGAGTAGGCTAATCAAAAGTTTAAAAGGGGGCCGGCCCCGTGGCTTAGCGGTTAAGTGCGTGCACTTCGCTGCCGGCGGCCCGGGTTCGGATCCCGGGTGCGCACCGAGGCACCACTCCTCCAGCCATGCTGAGGCCGCGTCCCACATACAGCAACTAGAAGGATGTGCAGCTATGACAGACAACTATGTATTGGAGCTTTGGGGGAAAAATAAATAAATAAAATCTTAAAAAAAAAAAAAAAGTTTAAAAGGAAAAGCTGAAAAACGGGATTTCCACAGGAACTTTGGTAAGTTTCAACATATTTCCAGGAATCTAGAAGGCTACATGTATGTGTAGGGCTGTGTTCATGTCCAAGGATGTGTGCCTTCTCAGCAAAGATGTGAAAAGGCCCTACTTCTCACCTCTGGTTCACCTTGAAGCCTTGCACAAGTAGGAAGTGACAGCTAAGGCAGAGTTGTCAACTGCCTGGCTGAGTGTTGAAGGAGTGCCCCAACACACAAACAGATATGCTCAGCAAAGACTGGGAGACTTAATGGTTCCAGGCATTTAAGGAAATCTCTGTCTAATCATTGGCTGCCTAATAAGTGAACTGAGCAGAACTGTCAGTGGCCATAAATGATGAAGAATGTAGACTTTATGGATTTAGCTTTGAAAAGTCATTAAAACAAACAACCACAATAAACAGCAACAACAACAAATCCTGAGGGGAGAAATCTGATTTCCAGAGTTGACACATTATATTATTTAAAATTTCCAGTTTCAACAAAAAATTATGAGACATGCCAAGAAACATGTGCATGGCTCATACACACACACAAAAAGCAATCAATAGAAACTGTCCCTGTGGAAACTCAGATTTTGGACTAACTAGAAAAAGACTTTAACTTAGCTAATTTAAATATGTTCAAAGAACTTAAAGAAACCATGTACGAAAAAACTAAACATGAGAACATTGTCTCACCAAATAGGGAGTATCAATATAGAGATAGAAATTTAAAAATAACCAAATAGAAAGTCTAGAGTTGAGAAGTCTAATAACTGAAATAAGAAATCCACTAGAGGGGTTCAACAGCAGGTTAGAGCAGGCAGAGAAATAATGACAGAACTTAAAGATAGGTAAATTAAGATTATCCAATTAGAAGAACAGAAAGAAAAAAAGAATTAAGAAAAATGAACAGAGCCTCACAGACTTATAGGACACCATTAAGCATACCAACATATATATAATGGAGTCCCAGAAGGAAAGGAGAGACAGAAAGGGACAGAAAGAAGATCTGAAAAAATAATGGCCAAAAACTTCCCAAATTTTATGAAAATTATTGAATTACACATCCAAGAGGCTCAAAAAAAAAAAAAAAAACCTCCAAGTGGGATAAACTCAAAGAGATTCACACCTAGACACATCATAATCAAACTATTTAAAGCCAAAGAGAAAGAGAGAATCTTGAAAGCAGCAAGAGAGAAGCAACTCATCACATACAAGGATCCTCAATAATATCAACAGCTGATTTCTTATCAGAAACAATAGAGGCCAGAAGGTAGTGGGATGGCATATTCGAAATACTGAAAGAAAGATACTGTCTACCAAGAACTCTATATCCAGTAAAACTATCCTTTAAAAATGAAGTAGAAATAAGATATTCTCAGATAAACAAAAACTGAGAAAATTTATCACTAGCAAATCTGCCCTACAAGAAATATTCAAGGAAGTTCTTCAGGCTGAAATGAAAGAACACTAAACAGTAATACATATCAACATAAAGAAATAGAGAATAACAGTAAAGTTAACTACATAGGTAAATAGAAAAGACAGCATAAATATAGTTTTGCCTACAACTTTTTTTCCTCCTCTTTGATTTAAAAGACAGCTTAATAAAGCAGTGTCCATGTTGATGGACACACCTGTATAAACATGTAATTTTCATGACAATAACAGCACAATGGAGGCTGGAGGAATGGACCTACTTAGGAGCAGTTTTTGTATACTATTGAAATTAAACTAGTATTAATCTGACCTAAATTGCTATAAATTAAGACGCTAAGTGTAATCTCTAGAGCATCCACTAAAAAAATTACTTTAAAAAATAATTAAAGAAATAATAAGGAAATTGAAATGGTACACTCAAAAAATATTTATTTAACACCAAAGAAGGCAGTAATGGAGGATAAAGGGACAAAAATGACATAAGATATATAGGAAAAAAATAGCAAAATGGTAGGCAAAAATCTAACATCGATAATTACATTAAATGTAAATTCATTAAGTACTCCAATTAAAAGGCAGAGATTGACAGAATGGATTTAAAAAAAAACAAAAACAAAAACAAAAAAACCATGCTCTGACTATATGCTTTCTACAACAGACACAATTTATTTATTTAATTTTTTTAAATTTTTTATTTATTGCAGTAACATTGGTTTATAACATTGTATAAATTTCAGGTGTATATCATTATACTTCTATTTCTGCATGGATTACATCACGTTCTCATGTTCACCACCCAAATACTAATTACAATCCATCACCACACACATGTGCCTAATTATCCCTTTTGCCCTCCTCCCTCCTCCCTTCCCCACTGGTAACCACCAACGCAATCTCTGTCTCTATGAACAACAGACACAATTTAGATTTAAAGATACAAATAGGTTGAAAGTAAAAGGATGTAAAAAGATATTCCATGCAAACAGTAACCAAAAGAGAGCTGTATGGCTCTACTAATATCAGGCAATATAGACTTATAGACAAAAATTGTTATTGGAGACAAAGAAAGACATTTTATAATGATAAAGGGCAATCTACTGTATATAACAATTATAAACCCATATGTACCTCACAACAGATCCAAAAATATATGAAGTAAAAACTGACAGAATCAAATGGAGAAATAGACAATTCAACGTTAATAGCTGGAGACATCAATACCCCACTTTCAATAATGCATAGAACAACTGGACAGAAGATTTGGACAGAACAGCACTATAAACTAATTAGACCTAACAGACCTATAAAACATGGCACACAATAGCAGCAAAACACAAATTCTTCTCAAGTGCACATGGAACATTCTCCTGGTTAGACCATATATGCTAAGTCATAGAACAAGTTTTAACATTTTTAAAGGATTTAAATCATACAAAGTATGTTTTGAGACCATAATGGAATCAAAGTAGAAATCAATATGAGAAAGAAATATGAGAAATTCACAAATATGTGTAATCAAAACAACATATTTCTAAATGGGTTAAAAAAGAAATCACAAGGGAAAATATTTTGAGATGAATGAAAACAAAAGCAACATACCAACACTTATGGGATGAAGCTATAGCAGTGCTTAAAGGAAAATCTGTAGCTGTCAATGCCTGTAAGATAAAAGAAGACCTCAAATCAATAATGTGACCTTCTACCTTAATAAAATAAGAGCAAATTAAACCCAAGGCAATCATAAGGAAGAAAATAATAAATATTGAAGTGGAAATAAGTGAAATAGTAGAAAAATAATAGAGAAAATAAAACCAAGAGAAACCAAGAGTTGATTCTTGGAAAAATCAACAAAATAGATAAATCTTTAGTTAGCTTGACCAAGAAAAAAGAAAATTACCAAAATTAAGGAGGAAAGAGGGGACATTACTTCCAACCATACAGAAATAAAAAGGATTATAAGAGAAACTATTAATAATTGCATGCCAACAAATTAGATAACCTAGATGAAATGTAGACATTCCTACAAAGTCTCAAACTACCAAAATTGAATCAAGAAGAAATAGAAAATCTGACTAGACCTGTAATAGGTAAAAGATATTGAATTAGTAACCAAAAAACTTACATTCTAAGAAAAGCCCAGGATCATATGGCTTCCTGGTGAATTCTATCAAACATCTAAAGGAGAATTAATAACAATTTTTCACAAACTCTTCTGAAAAATAGAAGAGGAGGGAATACTTCCAAACTCAATCTGTGAGGCCAATATTACCCTGACCCCAAAACCAGACAAAGATACCACAAGACAAGAAAACTGCAGACCAATGCCACTTACAAATGTGGATGCAAAAATTCTCAACAAAATACCAGCAAACCAAATCCAGCAACATATAAAAAGAATTATACACCATGAATAAGTGGGATTTATCCCAGCAATGCAAGGTTGGTTCAACTTCCAAAAATCTACTAATGTAATATATCACATCAATAGAAAAAAACAATACCAAATATTCATCTCAATAGACACAGAAAAAGCATTTGACAACATCCAACACCTTTGCGTGATAAAAACACCAAAGGAACTAGGAATAGAAGGGCATTTTCTCAGTCCGATAAAGGGCATCTACAAAAAAGTCCACAGCTAACAGCACAATTAATGGTGAAAGACTGCACACTTTCTCCTTAAGATCAGGAACACAACAAGGATGTCCCCTCTTTCCACTTCTGTTCACCATTGTACTGGAGGTTCTAACCAGGACAATTAGATAATACAAAGAAATAAAACGCACCCAGATTAGAAAGGAAGAAGAAAAACTGTCCCTATCTGCACATTACATGATCCTATATATAGGATCCCACACAAACACACACACACACAAATGATTAGAGCCAATAAATGAGTTCAGCAAGTTTGCAGGATACAAGATGAATATACAAAAATCAATTGTATTTTTATACATTAACAATGAAAAAAACAAAAATAAAATTAATAATTTCATTTATCATAGTAACAAAAAGAATAAAATATTTATTTTGGCAATAAAAATTACTAAAACGAGTGCAAGACTTGTACATTGAAAATTACAAAACACTGTTAAAAGAGATTAAAGAAAATCTAAATAAATGGAAAGACATCCTGTGTTCATGGATTGGAAGACTTAATATTGTTAAGATGGCAATACTTCTCAAATTGGTCTACAGATTCAACACAATCCTTATAAAAATCCAATTGTCTTTTTTGCAAAAATAGACAAGCCATGCTAAAATTTATTTGTAAATGCAAGGGGCCCAGAAGAGTCAGAACAATCTTGAAAAATAACAAAGTTGGAGGACTCACACGTCTTGATTTCAAACTTACTACAAAGCTACAGTATTGAAGACTATGAGGTCCTGGCATAAGGATGGATATATGGATCAATGGAATAGAAATGACAGTCCAAAAACAAACCCACGTTTCATTTGTTTTTCATTGTGTTCTCTACTGAGACTGACATTGGTCTTCTGCAAGAAAAATCAGAGGAAAAATCTTCTAAGGAAAATCAGACTATAACCAAAAAGCCCATTCATTTAAAAGCACTATTTTTGATGTCCAGTTGGAGATGGGTGATGAATCAAGATCACAGAGTCTCTCCCCCAATAATTAACACAACGAAGAAAAACTAATTCACAAGTAAGTAAAGCCCTCCACTCACCAGCAGCAAGCGAGGAAGGAAAGAGGAAGCTGTGCACCACAAACATGGTGCTTGGATATTCTGGGGCAGCTAGGTAGGCCCTAACATTGCCACACTCACTCCACGCTCATCTGTCCCCTCTCCACTCCAAGCGTTGTGGGCAAAGAAGCTGACTGTCCCAACTTCTCATACTTCTAGCTCACATGTCCCAGTTGGAGAGAAATGGCATGAGGAGTGAGCAGAAACCCCAAGGAGCACTCCTCACAATGGAAGCTCCTGCCTTGCTGGGCCCTAGGATCTCAGAAGGAAAACTGGCCTGCGCCCTCCGCAGTCCAGGGTCCCCGGAACAGGGCTGGGAGTGGAGGAGGGGGCACAGCAGAGGAGGCAGGGGGGTACTCTCATGGCCCAGGCTGTCCCAGCTGGACAGAAGGCACGTCCCCCCTGCTCCCTCGCTCTCAGACCTGCCCAATGGACACAACAGGTCAGACAAGGTGAGATGGATGTCAGGGACCCACCCACAAGCGAAGCCAGAAGTGGTCCCCCTGTGAGTGCTCTGCTCTAGAAATCTGCCAATACCTGCATTTGGAGCTGAAGGTCTTCTCAGTAGAGAAGATCTGTCTACTTCATTTTCTTTCCCAAAAACGTCTTCAAACTTTATTACATAGAAACATATACAAGACTTCATACCTTGAGTCCATTCCCAGAGAACCTGGTTGTTCAGTTAACTCCCTCTACCCATTTTGTACATACTATTTTAATAGCATTTATTTGACTTTTATGCAACATTTCAAAAGTACAGAAAAACATAATAATTGATATAAAAGATACCTACACATCCACCACTGAGATTAAACATTTGTTAACATTTTGCTATATTTGCTTTCGTTTTTAAAGAAATAAAATTGGTCAGATTTACTTTGGACGGACAGTTATGTGATATTAACAGCAAAATGTTAAGGGTAGAATCTGGACAGTGGGCTTACAGGTGTCGCTGTAGAATCCTTCGTGTACATTAGAACATCCTTATTATAAAATGCGAGGGAGGAAACACACTCGACAAACACAGTTCAAGCCCCACTCCCAGATATCCTAGAGTTAGTGTGTAATATTCTCGCATGTTTTTATACTCTTTATACACACACATTTATCCATAAGTGATATATATACCATTGTGTGTTTTTAAAATTTTCATAAATCATTCATATCCTTGTTCACTCCATTTAAAATTTTTGAGATTTGTTCTGGTAATACACATGTACGATGTATTCTTTTTAACAACGATGTCCCATTATATATAAAATTGACACATTTGTTCTCCCACCAGGGGCTAACCGGTCCCTGCCACCTTCTAACTCTAACCCTTCACACACACGCTTGTCTGAACCTGTGGAAGCTTCTATAACCAGGAAAATGTGGGCCCTTCACAGGCACCTCCAAATGAATCTCTTAAAAGAAATTTCACAGTGGATAAGGAAAAAAATTTAAAATCTCTTTTAAGAAAGTTGAAGACCAGAGAGATAAAAGACGCCTCCATAATAACGAAGGTGAAGGTAGACTGCCTTCATGAATCAGTCACAGAATGGGGCTGTAGAAGTGGGAAAAAATGTAAAAAGTAAATTTAGGAGAAATAAAGTTTCATTTACAGTGAACACACCATTGTAATAGGTTTTCACTATGCAAATTCAACCAAGGACAAACACTGAAGGACAACAATGACCCATATTGCTTTTTTTTTAATGCTTTATGTTATATGGAATATTATGATGTCCTAAGGAAACTCAATGGGAGATACTGAACATTTCTTATAAAAAATGAAATATCTCGCAATTTCTGTTCACATTTACTGTTTCATTTAACACTTAAAAACAACAACAACTATCAAGGCACTATTATTCCTATTTCACAGAGAAAGCCCCTGAGACTCAGACTGGTTAAAGAACTTGCCAAGAGCCACACAGGCCATCGCGTCTCAAAGCTACAAAGGCCAATGGTGGTCCTCCCAAGCACAGAGCCTCCGGGGGGAGCCTCTAAACCAGCACTTTGGCTAACCATGATGACAAGGACGACGGGATGCGTAGAACCCATGGTGATGCAGACACAGGAGGCGACATATGGAAACATCACATGGTTGCAGAGGAAACAGAATGGAAACATATTACAATGCTTTTTTGTAACCTTGGCTACCGTCACTATAGTTTCAAGAAAATGTTTTTCTAAACATTGGGAGATCGCCCATATGTTGGCTTCCATCTGCTGGCTCCCTGAGCCATGGTCCAGAACCGGCCAGGTGCCTCTGAGCCCAGGAAGCGCTGTGATTAATTGTGTCTGTCCAGAGCACACCTCAGGGAGGAGGTTTTGTGGTTTTCTCTTTTCACGTGTTTTTAAGAGGAAAGGTGATAAAATGCAGAAAGGCCACTGCAAGCCGTGTCACAGTGCTACTCACCGGTCATGGAGAGCGGGGATCTTGGAAGGACACTGCAAATATTGCTTAAACCGGAGCTCAAAGGCTTGTCCGATGGAGCCGATGACGTCCTGGGCCAGCCCGTCACAGCATTCCAGAATGTGACAAGCTGTGAGAGCAAAGGACGCAGGCCATTAGAGACAGACGCTGGCGCTGCCCAGGCTCCTCTCCATCAGCCCTTCCTGAGGGTGAAACCCGCCAGGCGTGGAAAGAACAGAGGGACAAGGAGGTGCACGTGTCCTCAGAATATGTCCTGGCAAGTGTACCTGCAGCTTATCCCTCAGGACCCCTTGCTGTACAGTGTCACCGTAGGGATGCATTTCTTAATAGCCTGTGCCCTCCAAAATTAAAGGTTCTATTTGTAAGTACATTTTAAATTTTTAAATTTCAATTTGATCACTCTTCAATTTCCTTAGAATTCAGAATGCAACAGAGAAAACAGAGTTTGGAAGGAAACCTCGATGCAACAAAACCTGATTGTAACAAGAAATGAGTCCCTTTAAGGCCTCGTGAGACTTAAAAAATGGACTTAAACGGACTCTTGTTGAATGAATCCTGAGCTACTCGGTGGACTCAGAGAAAGTTGTTGGCTCACCTCCGAGCAGGAGGAAAGTGTCCTCGCCAAATGCGGCAGCTCGAAGCAGGAAGAAGAGTAGCCTTTTAAGATGAATTTAAAGGGACGTTAATGGACCAGTACGACCACGCCTCCACATGCCGCCTGCAGTTACTCTAATTTGAGGCTGGATACTCATGCAGGTTCTCAGAAAAGCAGCTTGTGCTAGAGAGCAGATCAAAATCAGGGGTGTCAGCAGCCAGACCAGGGCCCTTCAGGGCCTGGAGCAACCCTTAACTGCTCTGGGGTGGGCGCTCACCGTCCCACGAGGACACACAGTCCTGCGGCCAGGCTGGGCATAATCCACGTGGAACCTTCAGAGAAAAGAGGGGCGAGTGGGGGGAGGTGGGAGAAGGTCCCCCCTCTGCTCTACCAGAAAGCAGAACGTCTCCCCCCCAAGTCATGTCCACGGCGTCCCTCAGAAGAGTCCCAGCCCCTCCGCGTGATACTGTGAGCAGCATGACACAGTGTTGTTACTAACGGGATAAAGGCATTCTCCCTGGAGAAAATGACAGGTGCGTACATCACACTCCACCTTTCCTTTCCTAAGGTTAGGATGCAACAGAGCTTCCAGGAGCTTCCTCCAGCCGCGCGGGGGGTGCCCGGTGGGCAGGAGGAGGCATTTCTACAGGGGAGCTGTTCCCAGCACCAGAGACACCGACTGCCCCCTTGCTGCAGGAGAACCCAGTACACACAGGAAAGAGGACGCGCTGAGATGGGAAACTGCGCAGGAAGGGACAGAGACACCACCGCCTCCGCAATTTGGTGACTCTCTCTCTCTCATCACGACGCTGCCTTCTCCACGCACAAAGCCAGCCAGGCTCGTGGAGTCACCCTGACGGCACATGCCAGGCCTGGGGTCCTCAGGCTCCTTCTTCCCCCAGCTTGAGGGGGCTGTGCACTTCTGAGGATACAGGGAAAAGCACTTCCTGGAAAGAGCGGCGTGACTGTGCTGTTGCTTCGGATGGCAATGCAACCCTGTGGATACATCATCCTATCTCAGGTATGGCCAATGGCTTTGTCCCAAGGAGACAGATGTCCTAGCTGTATTTTTATTATTGATATAATTTTATTTTATTGTTGATATTAGTACTTATTAGGTGTCAACCCGGGCAGGCACAAAGCGAGCCCATCTTACAGCTATTACAGTTGCGCAGTTGTTTGTTAACTGATAGGAATGGGGTTTCCAGCCGATAAGGAAGCAGGAGTCTAGGCCGGAGTGAGGGCAGACGCCTGGCTCTGCCACCTGCCCTGAGACTCCAGCCACACGTGCCCTCCACCGTGCTGCTCACCAGCATGGGCTCCAGCTAAGGGAGGCCCAGAATATAGACTGGGCGCGGGTCAAGAAAGTGCAGTTTATCTTTCTTCTAAGGAGAAAAGCAGCGCCCTAACCTTTAACAGAGTGAATGAAGAATAAGGTTTCTGCAGAGGAGCTGTATGATGGATCCACGCGGCCCACTCATCTTCACCAAAGAACACAAGGCCTGAAAGGGGCCTTTTTTAAGTCAGTTTCCGGGCCATCTGGAAGTTGTAGGGTTCTGGGCAGAAGCATCTGGCTTGGTGAGCGTCGAGCCTGTCATCTAAGATACAAGAGGAGGGCAGAACCTGCAGACGCAGAATTAAATCAGGACTCCAGGCTCTAGTACCTGGCTCAGCCGTCAGTGGACTGAGAAACGCCAGCTGTTGGCTGGTCTGAGGATCCTCCTGCAGAATGGCCTCTCTGTGTTCAAGAAACTCCCTCCAAATCCAACACTGAGCCTGGGCTGACGGTCTCTCTGGGCCTGGTATTTCTCTGAGAGGACTGCAATGCTCTTCAGCCAAAAGCTGCCATCTTCTGACCTGACCTGATTACCTGGTGTGTGTGAGGAACAATGAGGCCACCACGCCCAGGTGACCATCAGGGCTGCTTGCTTCACCCCCACAAGGAAAGGACGGAGCCAGAGGCGTCACTAGACGAGAGGCATGTACACGGGGGTGGGGCCGAGTCGAGACTCAAAATGATGTTGTGAATCCTAAAGTGTGTCCCAAACCAAAACAGGGGCAGCAAAATGGGGCCATCCCTCATCCCACCCCTTCTGGGAGGATATGGGTGCTCTCTGTAGAAGTGCGGGAGTGTGGGTGGTCTCAGCATGGGGCTCGTTTGCCCATGTTGGTCTCTCTCCTCGACCAGTAAGCAGGCTGTGGTCACTCTCCAGGAGAGCTGGCTCATTCCCAGAGCGGCCAGCTCCGCCCTGACACGAGTGAGGGGGCTTCCTCAGGCCACCCCACAAAGGCCACTCCCTCCCGGGGACGAGCCACTTCAGAGCAGCGTGCGCTATGGCCCTTGTAATCACAGCCGACAGAACTGGGCAGCGGCGTCTTTCTTCATATGGCGGCCTCCCGAGAGCTGAACCCACACGTCTCCCACTCACGGGAGACGCTGGCGGGGCAGCAGGCACTCCATCAGGGTGCCAGGTCACGGTTTTCCCAGCGCTCCAAATAAGGCCAGAGGCATCGGCTGCACTTGTCCATCAGCGCTCAAGACTGCCCGGCAATCTGCCTGCTAAATGGACTGCGGGCCAGCTGGGGCCTCCACTCATCCAAGCGTGCTCCCTGATGCCCTGCCCCGGACAGCTGCTCAGTCAGCACAGGCAAGTGACACCACCGTAACAGACAGCCCAACATCTCAGGGGCTGAAGACAACTTCATTCTTGCTCACTCATTTCTAGGCAGCTCTCCCAGGTGGTGACCCAGTGACCCAGGCTGCTTTGATCTTTCAATCCTGAATCTCAACCCACAGCCTCCGCACAACCCAGGGAAGAGAGAGAGAGGGAGGCGCACCAGCTCTAACCACATCATCCCTCCTGCTCCCCCCCACCACTGCACACAACTGTCACCTGGCTCCTCCCACCCGGGAGGGCTGGCCGGGCAGTCTCCTGTGGTCTGGGAGGAGTGGAGGACAGGACATCGGTGAGCACTAGCAATGCCCATCGCACCGCCCAAACCCCCAAACATCCTCACGTCTCTACATCAGGGGTCACCAAGGTCTTTCTAACTCATGCCCACCAGTGAAGAATTCTCTACTGTACTGAGCACGTGTCCACTTACTTATAAGTTATGAACATGTGTTCCTGTATTAATATCATAGTATATATATTATAAAAATATCTTTAAAAAGATGTTAAAAAAGATAAGATAAAATGAACACAAGTTTGAGATGTCTTGTTGGCCCTGAAAGCCCCCCGCTGTCAGTGTTGATCTCAAAGCACAGCGAATACTTCGGGTGAGGTTCGTCGTTAATGACGATGGATAGAAACTCATCTTTCCAGCTTTGAAATACTTTTCTTAATCATTTTGAATTTGGAGGGGCTGATTCCTTATCATCTGATTAGATCATCGTTGTTTTTTTAACTTTGAAAATGCAAATCCTCCCTTCCCCTACATCCTCTGTGGTCGGGAGCAGCTGACACACAGAAAGGGCATCACTGAGTCACTGGCCCTTTACACATGATTGTGGGTTAATGCCCCCTCAAGCCCAAGTCACCAGTGACTGTAAACAGGCTCCAGCATGTTTCCCACCACAGTGAACTGCTTCACATCCTGGGGGTGGGCTGCCCCACCTCGGTGGGCAGTGTTTCCATGAGAGGATTCTGCAGAAAAGCTCTCGGGATCTGTGCTCCCCTTTTAAGAAGTCACACCCCCGCCCACCCTCTCACCCTCAACTCACACTGCACTGCCATCTGCCTGCCCAAGGCAGCCCAGCCCTGAAGGGGTCCCATCTTGGGCTTTCCCCCGTCCTCTTACCCAAGATCCACAGACGCTCCGAGAGTTTAAATTCACAGCCACATTCCCCACCCACTGGTGACTAGGGGAACCCTGGAGACACCTGGAGTCCAAATCCAATTAGAAAAAGCCCTACAAAGCAATGGCTGCTGCTTTTTCCTCTGAGTGGGCTGACAACCCTCACTCCTTCAACGAACCATTGAATACAGTGAATTCTTACCAGAGAAATGGAGACCCTCCCAACTCAAGCACGGTCATCAGCCCACCCTAGTCTGTCCACTTGTTCCTCACTGTTCCACGTCTTTTTATCAGAGGCAGGCAAGAACTCCACAGTTCAGTGCCCATGCTGTTAGTTAACAGTCGTTTAGTAAATGTCCTAGCCCCAGAGGGGCAAACGAAAACTATAAGGAGATAATTTCCCACCCAGCAGACTGCAGGAATTGACAAGTCTGAAAATGCCAAGGGTTGGAGAGGGTATGAAGCAAAAGAGCCCTCCCACGCCACGGGTGGGATTAGAAGGCGAAATACCCGTTCTAGGAAAGCTGAGGATCCCAAAGACAAAGTGATTCGTCCTCCAGGCACGTACCCTAGGAAGACCCCTGCACGTGAGCACCAGACAAATGTAGGAAACAGTTGCTCACTCAGTAGATGCTTGCTGAGCATTGACTGTGTCCCAGGCCCTGCCCTGGGTCCAGGGAGAGAGCAAGAACCATGGCAGAGGCCTGCTCTCACCTAGCTTACAGTCTGGAGGGTGGACACCAAAACTAGAGAGGAAAACAGACCATGATCGTGCGTGGAATGGTGGCCCCCAAAAGACATGTCCACATCCTGACCCTCTGAACCTGTGAAAAGGGGTCTTTGCAGAGGTAGTTAAGGATCTCAAGATGATGTCATCCTGGATTAGGGTGGCCCTAAATCCAATGACAAGTGTCCTCATAAGAAACAGAAGAGCAGAAGACACAGACACAGAGGAGCAGGAGGTGACGTGAAGACAGAACAGAGTGGAGTGATGTGGCCGCGAGCCAAGGGATGCCTGGGGCCACCAGAAGCTGGAAGAGGCAGGAAGGACCCTCCCCTAGAGCCTTTGGAGGGAGCGTGGCCCTGCGATGCCTTGATTTCAGACCCCTGGCCTCCAGAGCTGGGAGAGAATAAACTTCTGTCGTTTCCCACTGCTTGGTCATGGTCATCTGCTCCAGTGACCCTGGGAAATTACCACAACCATGAAGACAATAGTGTAAAATACAAGGGATGAAAGAGGATGGTGGTGTAGGGCGACATATAGCATGACCAGGAAAGGCCATCCTAGTAGGTGACGTTGGAGAAGAAGCCTCAAGGAAGTCAGGGAGGGAACCATGTGAAGGTCTGGTGTGAGAATGTCACAGGCATAGAACCCAGCAGGTGCAAAGGCCCTGAGGCAGGTGCTTGCTTGGCATGTTCAAGGAAGAGCTAGAGGTCAGTGGGGCTGGAGGGCCGGGGAGATGGGAGGAAATGAGATGGGGACAGAGCGGGACTGAGCTCGCCTCGGGTCCTGTGGGCAGTGAATGAGATGTTTTGTCTCTTCTTCCCATCTACCCTCAAGACTCTGATCACCCACCTCTGCTTCAGGAGTGACAGTGTGACGGTTATAAAATGGGGAGTTATCTGTATCAGAACATCTCATGTCGGGAATATACCAGCCACTGCAATGACAGCATGTGCGGGCGCTTCAGCGCACCTGGGATAACAGCTGACATTCCCTGTAGGACTGTGCTACCTTCAACTGAAAGACAGGGAAGACAGTCCACCAGGTCACTGCTTCCCAACCCAGCGCTGGAACAGGCCTGGCAGGAAATCCCCTCACACACTCCCACAGGAATGCAAGTGTTTACAGCCAGACTGGGAGGCAACTTGCAAAGTCTGTTGACATATTAACCACTTAACCCTGCTTCTCTGCCTCTTTAGGACGGGCCACGCAACATGGTGGGGAAGAACAAGTGGTCTGTACCCAGGGCCCTGGGGTCGGTGGACCTGGAGTCGGATCTCGTCACTGGAGCCACGTCTTGGATCAGTGAAGCTGTTCTCTGTGGGCTGTCTTGAAGATATGTCCAAGACACAGTGTTTGGGGGCAGCACACAGAAGTCTAAGATTCATTTGTATGGAAATGAAAAGAGGAGAGAATATGTGCATGTATGCGAATAAAAAAATTCTGCAAAGCACACTAGAAAATTTAACAGTTGGCACCTGGGGGAGGGTGGGAGGAGCAGAGCCTAGGGTAGTCGGGGGAAGCGCTGTCTTGCATTGTTGCAAACCCCACCGGCGCCTTCTTCAAGTTCTCACCTAGGGTTGTGCAGCGCATCGGCGGCTGCCTGGCAGTCACGGGCGCTGCACCCCAGTCAGCCCACCCACCAGGCTTGTTGGCATCCGAGGTGGAGCTTCGGTTTGTCAGTGATAAAAGAAATGGGGCGGCGGGTGTGGAGGGAGGGTCTGGGAGTAAAGTGCCCATGAGGACGTACAGTGCTTGAATGCCTCGGATCCCCCACCCAGCCCCGTCTGAGGCCGCAGCAGCTTCGTGGGGCGTCGGGGAACAGCTCCCGAGCTTGGACATGGGCCTCCAGGGCTGGGAAGGGCAGCGGAGACTTCTCAGGGGAGCCTAGACGGCAGCGGACACACAAGGAGCTGGAGCCAGGCAATGCTCTGTGTGTCACCGAGGCCACCTTCAGAGTGGGAGTGGGAGCTGCACTGTGCAGTCAGGTGCACCCCGCTGTGGCCGTCTGGGTACAGGTATGTGCTTGAAGCTCACAGACGCCAGCGTCCCCTAACCCGGCCAGGCGTGCTGTCACACTTAACTGCCTGCAAGCCTCAATTATCCTCAACAGTCCCATCCGACCTGCTCATTTTGGTGAAGGGGGCTGAGGTGATGAGGGACATCTGGTATCCAGTGCTCAGCCCGCTGTATACAGTGACAGATTGCAAGGGTCAAGTGTTGCTCACCTCTGCGATTCACAGGGTCCTTAGCTACGTATGCGACGTAGTCTGTTGTGTCCTGTGGAGAAAAATGAGACGTCCACGTTACTCATCACAAGCCGGAGACAGCACAGCCAGACACACGGTGCACACACCAGCCCAGCAACCAAATGCCACCCAAGTCACCGCCCTGCAAGACGGCGTTTGGCAAACTGTGCCGTGGGCAGCAATCATGGGTCTCTTGTGAAGTGCAGACTCTGACCCGGCAGGTCCGGGCAGGGCCCGGGTCCGCCTCTGCAGCCAGCTCGCCCGGGGTGCTGATGCTCTTCCTCCACACCCACACCCCGAGCAGCCAGGACACTGAGGGCACCCGCTCTCTGCGTGCCGGCTCGCCCAAGGAGCTCCAGCAACGCTGACACCTGAGTCCCGGCTCCCAGCTGCTCTGATCTGACTGGATTGAGTGTGAGGCCCGGGCGTCAGGGAACTGTGAAAGCTCCCCAGATGATTCTCACGTGAACCAAGGTTGAGAGCCAGTCATGGTCTACAACAGCGCTCCTCACACTTGAGCTGGTGTCAAAATCCCCGCAGGGCTTGTTAAAACACAGATTGCTGAGCCCCACCCCGGGGTCTCCAACTGGGTGGGTCTAAGGTGTGGCCCCAAATGTGCATTTTTGACCAGTTTCCAGGTGATGCTGCTGGCCGGCTGGGGGCCGCACTGGAGAAAATCAAAGTGGATGTTCAAAGGATGACTGCAAACACCCCTCACAGGTGGATGAGATACGACAGCTCTTTTCTTCTTGAGCAAGTAGTGATTTCAATCCTTTTAAGATGTTTCAAACTAGAGTTCTATGTAGAAAGCACAAGGTTACAGTGAGATTTGAGTCCCCTGCCTCCTCATCTACTCGGTGCACAGAGGACACCGTGACCTCAAGCAGCACGTGGATTTTAGTTTCTAAACAGTCAGAGGAACTCAGGTCTTGAAAGTGGAAAAGACTGCCCTGCAAAGTTGACACTTGCAACATTCAAAATAGTCTCAGGGGGCAAGTGGGAGAGGTCTCCCCCACTGCTGCAGGTATTCCCCAAACGCTATCGCGTCGAAGGCTCCAGGTCACTGATTCGCTCCTCCCGTTTCAGCATCTGTGCGATTCTCTGTCATAGTTCCTTCCCTGCTACTCTCCATGGGCAGAGCAGACCACCCCTGCTCCCTCTACAGTGCTCCAGAAAACCCTCCAGTGAGAGAGGGGAGGGGTCGAGGTGAGGGTGGGTGGGCGTGCACCGGTATGAGCGCCCACTGCAGGGAGTGTGTGCACAGGCACTTTTCCAAACCCCTCTCCCTGGAACTCACAGTGACCCACTAAAACCAAGCAGGGGGAGGAGAGCTTCCAGCAGCTCTTGACTTAACAGGCTGCTACCCTGGGGTCGCTCTCCAGCATGCAGCCTGCCTTAGCTGTTTCCTCTGCCTGCTCAGGCCACTGTCCACTGTATATTCACAGGCTGACCAGGGAAAGGGAGTGGGAGACGGTCAAACCGGTCACCTGCATTCTGGTCATTTCCTCCAAGGAAGCTCTGGCCAGACTCTGAAGCTATTGGCAGATGTAAGGACTGTAGCTTGTAATCATAGCCACGCTGCCTGGATTCAGGAGAAATTAATGCCAGAAAGGTTCTGAGGTAGCACTAGCGTTTCCCTAACAGAGATCCCTGGAACCCTACGGCTGGGCAGGTGTATTCTCCAGGGTTTGAGATGACATCACTAGAATTTCTTTTTAACTTTGTGTTTTCATTTCCATGATCATCTTAAAAATTAACATAGGAACATCCGGGATCATCTGCATGACCACCGTGTCATTCCGCCTTTTCAGTGCCAAGATTTGCAGTTGGGCTTCCAACACTACGGGTGCCAAGTTTTTAAAGAATTAGAAAAGAACAGTCAGGCTAGATGCCTTTGCCCCACTTGAAGCAAATTAATGTCGCATTTGTACACAATGACGTAGGACTGAAGTGTTCGCTTGAATAGGAGGAATCAGTGGAAGGACTGAGTCATCCGGTGGCTGTGGTGGTGGAGAGATGCTGACCTCAAAGACTCCGAGGGCACCGAGGCGGCCAGTTCTGGAGCCACACTGGGGCAGACACGTAGCTTCTGGAAAAATGTATCCATCACAGTAAATTAATATTACTTTGAATGTTGTTGGCTTTACTGTGTTTATCAGTATCTAACTTCCAAATTTGATTGGAGTTTACCGTTCAATAAAAAGTATAAACATAAGGAGTCTGTACTTTATTTTTGTACATATTTGGGTAACAAAATTAATTTGAGTTAACACTAGTGGCATATACAAGGAGATTCTTCTTTTTAAATTCTCACTCCAGTCTGAGAAACTCTGTTCCGGCTCAAAGCTGAGGAAGGAGGGTCAGGAAAGAGATGTGATGTGTCCCTGTCACTCAGATGGTCAAGGGCCGAGCCAGGACACAGCGCTCTGGTGCCAGTATCGATCCTCTTCTGGCACGGGGGGAGTGGATTGCTGTTCAGAACTATGTTCTTGACATCACTCAGGGAGCATACTAAGTTCCAAAGATGGGGCTGCCAGCACCTGTTCTGTATTTATCCCATCTCTGTTCTCACTTCCCAAGAATTTCCGAGCCTGACCATTATTCTGGCATTCTTTTGGTCATCTTTTAATACTGCTAATAATAGTAGATTATAATTATAGTGTGCCTTTTTTTTTGGAGAAATTAACAGTGTTTTCCAGTCTATCTTACTTGACATTTCAAAATACCATTTTCTCACCACATAAACTGAGGCACAAAGCAATAAGTAGATATACACTTAGCAGCAGAGCAAGGAATAGAACCTAGAATTGTTGGTCTTATTTAAAACATCTATCAACTGTAACGGTTACAAACCAATTTAGAATGGGAACTCACGCACAATGCAATATGCACTGGATTGGTTGAAATGGAAAGTGACAAGGCTCCCTATCCCCTGGTATCAGGACATTTTCTGTATCAGAAAAAAATCAGAAAACATATAAAAGGTTATGAATCACTTTCAGGTTCACTGAATGACTGAATGCTTTCTTTTTTTTTTTTTAATAATGGGGAAATTTGAAAACCGTTCACAGACCTGTGTGCATCCTGGACAACAAAATAATTTTAACACAAGCCAACGTATCTGGTTCCCATTTTCTAGATGTCTGTATCTCCACTCATAATGTCATCACAAAGACAAGGTTTGAGACAGGTTTCTGAAAGGAGCTCTTGATGCAGGTGAGCAATCTCTCTTCCTGTGATTTTTCAAGCTGGGTTACCTTCCAAATTTAAGAAGCTGTGGTTCTAAGCATCACGCTGAGCAGGCAAGTAGAGAGTCACTGCAAGCTGATTGGAGCCCGAAACAGATACAGGTGAAGGGCGAGTACAGACGTGTGTGGGGGCAGCGCAGGTCGGGCACAGGTGTGCACAGACGTACAGACATGATCTTCAGAAACGCACCATGGATGGGTTTAATTATGGGAGACAACAACAAAAACAAAAACTCCACCTGTAAACCACCATTCTTTTATTATAAAAAGACTATTTAACAGCCAAAGGACATCATCCCAGGATATAGAATAATCTTTTTTAATTGAGTATGTTTAGCTCCAAGAAAAACCCACTCTGTTGCCCTAATTTTTAAATGTTTCTCCGGACTGGTGAAAACTTAACTCAGACCAATGATAAACAGTGTGATAACAGTCTTGGGGGGATCCCTCGTCCCCGTCTCTGCTGGAAAGCGCTGACGGTGTTTTCTCCCCGATGCCCTCTGCGCCTCCCTCCCTGCACAAGCCCAGCGAGTGGCAACAGTGGACGGCAGCCGGCGTGCGGGAGCGGCCCGAGACCTGCCTCCCATGACCCCAAAGCTGACCCTGGCGCCGCGTCGGAGCACTCCCGACCAGACGCGGGAGCAAATTCCCTGGTGAGCCACCCTCTTAACACAAGAAGCAGTGCAAAAAGAACATTCCCATCTGTTCTCGACTCTCTCTCTCTCCTTATCTCTGCAACTCCTTCCCTGTGGGCACAGCAAACCGTTAAAGACTACAGTGTTAGATTTGGAGAGAAAAATGCCAGTTTCAAATATTTGTGAATAACCAGACTAAGTAAAATCACTGCCTTTGAGTAGACTTAAAATACAAAAACTGAAGACCCAGCGGCGGTCCACTAGGAAAACAGGAACAAAGGAGAGCGTGCAGAGTCATGAGACAAGGACAACCCGCAGCTCTGAAAAACTCGGGAGCTATTTCACGGCCTCTTGAGAACACCACGGCTTCAAGGATTCTTGCCAGCTCTGGCTAACGAAATGGAAGTTAATGGTAGGTCCTTGTCCTGGGTTACCCCTACAAGAATGACAGCCAAGAAGCTCTCACAAGACCAGGAGGGAACCTTTGGCGTCACAGTGAACTTCATAGTGTCCTAAGAGGCACAGCTCTGGAGCAGGGCCCCTTCTCAGCATTCCCAACCAGCACGGGAGAAAACGGCGCCAAGGGCACTTACCGGGTCTCCCCCGGAGGCAAAGGAGATGGACTGCATGTGATGGTTCGCTATAATCTGCGGGACCCAAAACAAGAAACGAGATGTCCGTTAGCACCCTTCCCAGGGCTCAGGAAACCAACTGTCTTTGGCAGGCAATACGAATCAACAAGGTTTCCTGAAAATTGGTGAAACTGGTACCCAATGAAAACAACAATTATAAAAGTCATAACACCTTTTGCAACGTGTCAGCTGCTCGTCTAGCCGCTTTGCCAGAATGAGCTCACAGCAGCCCAGTGATGTGGGAACTACCATAACCCCAACTTACACATGGGGAGCTGAGGGTCGGAGGAGCCGAGTGGCTTGTTCAAAGTACTACAGCTCTAATGGGCAGAGCTGGGACCGAACACAGGGGGGTCTTAACAACCATGCCTCTTTGAGAAGGAAACAGCCTCACCCATACCCCCAAACATTCCAACTGTGCAGTTCCTGTTTCCAAAGACATAAGGGTCTTCAATGCAGACCCCACAGCTAACGTGGAGGGAAGTGTGGCCGTCCCCCACCTCATCCCATTCGTATCCCGGGCACACAGACCAGAAAGCCTGTATCCCAGATTCCAAATCCCTGCCGCCTCAGGCGCTCATGTCATGTATCAATTTACAAACCAACGAGGACATTCCAAGCTAATTTTAAAATGGGAAATTTCCATTAGCATTATAAACTGCAGCGTACAGGGGAACTCAGTAGACACTGGGTAAATGAGAAGCTGCCCTAAATTTTAAAAAGCTACATAAGTCTTCCATGCTATTGTTTTCTTTTTAAAGACAAGGTAATGACATTGAAGTAAATTTCTGGGGGTGGGAAGAGCACTCTAGTCTCCATCCCAACATAACCAGGGTTATTTCTGCACAGCCCCCTCAGGCCCTTGCTGATGGCCATCAGAATTTACGGAGCCATAATCCTACCAGCCAAGGGATTTTTTTCCAGCCCTGCTCCTGTAAAAGTCGAAGCAACACTATAACTGACTTATAAGGTAAAATAAGGTATTTTGTAATGCCTACTTCAGTTGTTGGCACCTGCAAAACTACTCAGGATCTAGAAAAACCTGAGCATATAAACGAATGACAACAGTGGGGCCGGCTCTGTAGCCTCTAACAGCTGCCCATCACCGCTCTCTGGAATCCAGCCTCTATCCCGGTAACGGGCTCCTGGAGACCAATGAGGATGTGGCATCCCTAAGTGATGGTAAACTATGGCTTCTAAAGTTGTTCATTTTTGCTCATTTAATTTTTTGCTTATTCAATTTTTGCTTATAAAGCAGCTCTAAAACCAGGATTTGGAAACGAAAGTGGACACTACGATTTGGGGGAAAAATGGGAATCTTATTTGGTCAACACGATGCTTGACCATTACTGTGTGACTGTATTTCAGCTCTTCTGGTAAGACAGACATTGAAAAGGGAGTAAGAAATTAGAGCTGAGTAACTGAAAACACAAGCTTCTGCTCTGAGGGTGTTTCATCTCGTTCCTTCTCCTTGAGAGCTCGGCAGAGGGGAGTGGGCGCTGTCTCTCTGCTGTCTCTTCGTTGGGAAAGAAGTGTCCAGGCAGGCTTGGTCTTCATTTGCAGCAGCCAGGCCCTAAGCTCGGCCAGACTCCTGCCAAACCTTCCTCAGACTGAGCGCGTGTCGTCCGAGCTGGCGTCCCCATGGCTCCTGAGCCCAGCACTCACTCCCATCCCCCTAAACCAAGTGCAGGACGATGGGAACTGGACACACCCAGCCAGCCCCCAAGCCCAGGACGGAGAGGGCCAACCTCGGTGTCTCATCCTTTCCACTCTTTCTGAGTCTGCTTCTCCTTCTTTTTTGGAGGTGGGGAATGAGGTAAGAGGGGGAATTAGGACATATATCCCACAGAAATGAGGGCCATGGTCTGAGTATTCCTGGAAACAAAAGGTGCCAAGCCACACAGGACAAGAATGGATATGGTGTGTGAGCGCAGAGCTGAGGGGACCCGCTCTGTGAGCTCCCTCACAGGACGTGGGCCCATGCAACCCGGAGGCCTAGGCAGCCTCAGTCCTGAGACGGCTCCAGGAGAGGTCGAGCCTGTCAAGGGTCCTTAATCCATCACCCAAATGACCAGTCAACCCATCCCTTAGAGAAGCCAACGAGAAAAGACACGGGATTAGCCTCCAGTCGAGTGAGGACAAAGCAATGGAGTGGGAAGTGGCACCCAGTGTGTCACAGTGAAGCCCGGACACTGCCTCTCCTTTCCATGCTGGATCTAGAATCTATTCAACATCTCACGCAGGGGCAGGGGAATAAATGAAGTTGAGCGTGCTGCTTGCCTACCCGGGGAAAATGGAAATCAATAACTATGAACATGTATAACAACATGGAGGCAACCCTGGGCATCCTCAGGAACACACTGCCAGTCAAGAAGAGTGGCATTCAGGGGGTCTGTGGATTGCCCATCTTTCTCCGTGTAGACACATCCAAATCCCAGCTTACACTGGCAGCAACAGAGGCCCCGGCTGAGCAGAGCAGGTGAAGGAAGGTTACATTCCACAATTCCAACATGGTTTATGAGCATTTTCGCCTCCTTTGGCTTTCAGAACTGCCCTGCTGGTACACAGGACAGCTACGCATACACCCACTTTTCCAGCTGAAGGAACTAACGATCAGAGAAACCTAAAAGACAGACACTGCAGAGAAACCCCACCATCCTAAACAGAATGTGCCTCAATAAACATCATTGCTGTGCCGCCTCTGTCAGAAGGAAATCTTCCCACACTGGACATGTCACAGGTACAGCACATCGCTTCAAACCCACGACACCATCAGCAGTGGGAGGCTCCAAAATAATGACCCGCTGAGAAAGAAAATACTGCCCATTAAACCATGACATGCCATCCATTTCAAAGAGGATAAAATGTGAAATAAGATGTGGGCTGTGGAACCAATGAAACATGGCACAAAAGAAAACAAAATAGAGCAAGAACATCGCGAGGAGACTTTTGCACATGCGTACACCTCTTTCCACATTGCAAGTAAAGCAATGACTTCATGCATTATCCTCACAAAAAAGGTAATTTATAGCAGAATTAAAGAGAACCAATTCCATCTATCATTCTGTTGGCAACCCTTGGGAGTGGCCAAAGTTTGTAGACTGGTGAAGATTTTACGCTAGGTGAAGCTGGAAGCGTGCCGCCCTGAGACACCCATCGTGTGGGGGGCTCTGGGCAGGGCAGGGGGCCTGAGCGCCTACAGACCTGCTTCGAGTCGGGTGTCCGCAGGTTCAGGCTGGCGGTGGAGATGGTCAGGGAGATGCTCATCCCCGCAAACTGGAGGTTGCTCTTGCCCAGGATGCTGGACAGCATTTTGCTCGGAGGCTGTGAAATCAAGCAGTGTGATGTTAGCTTTCCACTCACTGGAGCCTCACCGTCGGGGCCTCCACGTGGTTCCTATCCGTCACACCCCCAAACCTCCACGTTCCACCCTCATTAGACATGTGAAGACAATTATGCCACGAACGAGCTAGGAGGGTGGGATCCGACACTAATACAAATTCTAGAAAACGCAATATGCGAACTGTAGAACAGCTGATCTGCACACACTGGGATGAGCCCCCTGTGGGGAAGTCAGAGGTGTCAGTGTTCCGGGCAGCTCGTGCCGGGATGCGCCACATGGGGTCACTCGTCAACCTGGGGAAGTGCCCCAGGGCCCACAGCAATGCAGACTCAGAGACTGCTTTCAGCCCCCCATGAGCCAAACGACTCAGGGCCACACTAAAACGGACCGCTCCTGGGGCTTATGGGCAACCCCACAGAGTCCTGAGAACGCTCATTGCTGAAGGGATGGAACACAAATCCTTCGGCTGGAACATCCTCCCAGATCAGTGCTCACATGGATGGTCCAACTAGAATCCGACGGGCCTGGAGCCAGCACAAGGATGGACAGACTTGGTTTGGCTCTGACTGTCGCATCCATCAGCTGCCAGAAACGTCCTTGGCACAGGGACCAATGGACTGCATTTTCCAGCCAGGCGCCTTCTCCTCGGGCACCTGGATGGGCACTGCCGACACCTGTCTCTCTCTGTCCACTGCTGAGCAACTCCCCTTCCTCTTCAGATGAGAACATCACCCTTATGACACGTCAATCAACACCAGCTCTTAACGACCATGCAATGTTTTTGATTATCCTGCCTGAGCTATTTGAAAACAGAGATGCCTGCCCCCCGGGAAACTCTGATGAAGAATACCTGGGGTGGAGCCCAGAAATTGGCATTGTTTCCACACCTGCACCAGGAGAACTAACCGTGAGAGTACCCTAAGACTTGCAGGTCGGGCGCCACCTGGCTCTGAAAGAGGAGGTTCCCCACCTCTGTTCTCAGAGGCCCTCCCGGTTCCTCTGTTCAAGAATCTGGAGCCTTGTTGGTGCCCTGCGTCCCCTGTGAGCCGACCAGAACACAGGCTGCACATTGGAACCTTCACCCAGAGTTTTCTGCCTGAAACCCAGTCGCCCTGTGGGTGCACGAATGTCCCCAAGCTACGAAGACAGAACCAGCCGGCAGCTCAGGGAGCTGCAGGGGCAAGGCCACAGCCTGCCCCAAACCTCAGCCTCAGGACAGATTCAGGGACTCAGAGGGACGCCCTCCCCACCGTGCGGTCCAGGCACAGAAAGCCCTGAGGGTGGGATTCAGTCATGGGTTTACTAGACAGTCGAGTAAAGAGTTTTTCTGAGCTTTCTGTCATCTGTGGTTTTATTCCTTCTGGTCCAACCACCTCCAGGACCAAAAGGTGGAGTACAGGGGTTGAACACGCAGGCCCCGGAGCAGGGGGTCTGGGCTGGAGCTCAGCTCTCCCACCTTCTCACATTGTGGGTTCTCATCTGCGTGCCTCAGTTTTTACCATCTGTAAAATGGGGGGATAGCCAACGGTGTTCTAGAGCTGGCTTGTACCCTCTAACGAGAGAAAACTATTAAGTTTTTAAGAATTTTGTGAGCTGGCTATTAAAAACACTGCTATTAAAAATTAAGTTACATAAACTTACTATTAAATAAATTACATTTTAAAAACAAACAATAAATGCTCAAAACTCATCACTTGGTAATTGTCGCTACATTCGCTATTATCTGTGCTGTTCAGGTTCTTTACGTCCATGGGACCTGGACATGCCATACAGCTGTGTGCTACTGTGCGTCCCTTCCGGACTCCGTTGTAGGGGCGTCACGTCAGAGCTTGAAGTTGGCCCTGGTGGAAGTATTTGCGCCACATAAACTGGCAAACACCACAAATCTAGTGCCTCTCGGTGCCCTCCCACCCAGAGCCGGTTGATCAACTTTTACCAGCACACGACGGGGAACACCTACCACGGAGAGTTGCTCGGGTGGAGGGAGTCAATGTCTATAAGGCTTAGGAGAACGCCTGTCCCTGTTCACGTGTCTGTAGTCATCATCGTCCTTTTTTTCAGGCCCACGGTGAGTAAGCAGGGGTCTCTTTGGGTGGCAGCGAGAGCTAACAGTTCTGTAACCACGTGGTGGAGGGAGGGAACCTAAGCGCTTTCTGTTTTTAAAAGTGACAAGAGCCACTGCGAGTCACCCTCTTTAAGGGACGCCTTTTGGTTCCCCCAGCAAAAAGAAAAAGTGACGAGAGCCAGGCGGCGGAAAAAGGAAACTGAACAATTGCGTGATTGAAGATGCTGAGCAGAAGAGCGGAGAAGTTGAGGAGACGCAGGGAGACGAGAGGCAGGGGACATACCTTTCTCTTCCTGAAGGCTCCCTTGGTGCCAGGGATGGCTTCGCAGACGCGGCTGATGGCTTCCCTGGAGAGGACAGGAGAGGGGTCAGTTCATCGGGTCAACCAGGATGATGTAACCCCGGGACTCCACGCGTGCACTTCCCAGGGAGAAGGACTGCCGTTATTTCAGCTTAGAACACAGGCCCGCCCATTCCGGCGGCTTCCAATTTCTCCTCTAGAAAACAGAACTGGGGAAACACAAAGACCCTCCTAGACCTCTGACTGGCAGCAGCCCGGTTCTTTCTGTGGCGGTGCTTGTATCCTAATGGTATGCTATGTATCAGTGCCACACTTTTTCTTTTTCATGTTTGGTCAAGATTCCATTCTAGAAAACCCACACCCCGAAAGGTGCTCTTCTGGGTGTTGTCCTCCTGGCCGTGGTCGTGGCACAAGGCTCACACCTGACCAAGCCTGCTATCGATGGAGATACTTGGAAGCACGTCAGAACGTAATTAAGAGAAATTTGGTCATATGAGTGTTAGGCCCAGGGCCTGCAGTTAGTAAATATCACAAAATCGAGAGGGTTTGAAGGAGGAGAGGAACCCCAGGGGTGTACAAATGAGCTGGAAACGAGGATCTGTGCAGGGCAGGCCCACAGACGAGTGTTTATTGAGTGGCTACTATGTGCTGGGCACCAAAAGGAGGCAAGGGGTATCCCACGTATCAAGGGGGCCTGACGGGAGGACCAACTGTGGAGGGTCTGACACATGGGTCTGCACAGGGCAGGAGAGCACAGGGGCAGGGGAAGCTGCTACCATCCAGATACTGGAGGCTGCGGGCCTAGGGTGTGGAGGACTCAGCTGGGGCAGGCGCTTGGAAGGAAGCACAGCCCAACTTTGGGACCTGGCCTCAGTAAGAAATGACGGGAGATACGCCGAAGGTGGCTCCAGAGTCAGAGCCCAAAAAAGAGCTGGGTGACCTTCCCAACTCCCACACAGGGAATGACAAATGAATAAGAGAACACTGGAAAAAATAAACGAACAGGGATCTGGAGACACGCTGAACCATAAAGAAGATAATGGGTCCTCAGAAACATTCCACTCGCTTTCTCAGCTGAATACTTCTTGAAATTATCTTCCATCATGTAGAAAAATAATTACCATCACAATGCAATGCTTTTAAGAGAAATATGACCTTGTCAAACTAGGTTAGAGACAATTAGGATAAGCTTCACATTTGCCTTTCAATTCATTGTGGAGAGTGGAGAAAGAAACACTCTTCTCAAAGTTCACATGCCAGAAAACTGCAGACTATGAATCACCATGACTCAGGAAAAGTTTATTTGATGTTTATGCTTAATCATTTATTTTATGATAATATTCTAACTGTGGTTCTATCAAAATGATCATCCAAAGTACTTTCTGAAAGTAAATTCCTTATTGAGGCAGGTCAAGTCGCCTCTTTAGAGAACTATATAAACCTCAGTATCTATATCTTACCTATTTAATTAAAAAAAATTTCATTGCCTTTCTGCACTGTGCTTGGTTATATTAAGTGATATATTTAGCTGAGAAAGCAGCTAAATCTCTATGGTCCCAGCAGGCTAGGAAGACTTTACATCGTGGAAAGTCTCCTATAGGTCATTCCGTAAATACCCCTCATAAGTATCCGATTTCTTTTCCCATCCGCCGACACGGAAGATAAGAAAAAAAAAATCAGTCTTGGATGACAGTTTTCCAAAAGGAAACGTTAAATGTCTACCCTATTGTTTAGTCAGACGCCACCAAGAGCCTGATCTAGTTGGGCCACAAGCTGCTGATGTGCCCCTTCTGGGGGACGGAGTGGAAACGACAAATGAGCATTAAAAACGAGATTGTGCTTAAATTCTCTTTTTCACTACCCTAAGCAGGCTTGCCCAACCACGCTGGCTCTCCGATCCCAGGCTTCCGGCCTCCAAAACTGTAAGCAATAACTTCTGCTGTTTATAAGCCAAAAAAAAGAGAGAGAAAGAGAGAGAGAGAGATTGTGAAGAAGGCTTTGCAAATAATAAACCCACTCTATCAAAGGAGTCCTCCCCAGCGAAGCATGCAAGCATCTCAGGGAACATTCACAGACTCAATCTTTGTCCTCAAAATTTGCAAATTTAAGAAATTCCAGAAATTTCTCAGAGCTCACAGACTCAAGAAAGTCCTAAGGATCCCCCTGTGAGCCAGCCTTTAGACTCCCCAAAGAGGTTTGCAAATCAAGCTGCTTTTCAGAAAAATGCTCTCCCTCCATTACTGACATGCATTTGTTTCTAATGTTGACATGATAACGTGTGTATGAATTCTCATTTCAACCACGCTGTTGTTTCTATTTCTGTTTGAAATAGAAATGTGACATAACTATTAATAATTGCAATATTTAGATGACTGAAATTAGTAACTTTAACTCCAAAGTCTAATTTTAAATGTAACAATTCTCATTGTCCCTCCTTACCATTTAGCACAGTGCATTTTAATGAGCAGTGTGGTTTCAATTTGTTCATTTAGCAATAACTATTTAGCTTTGTATAATTCCATTCAATCCCAGTTTGAGTCTCAGGTAGCAATTTTGCCCTGTTTTTAATAATAGAGATTGCTTCTTAACATTCTGTTCAGTCTGACCCCATTTCAACATGCAAACTATGACCTCAGAGCTCAGCTAATATGAAAATGGAATATTTGGCACCTCCCCGGGCATCTGAAAGTAAGCCAGCCTCAAATGCTAGCCCTCACTTTCTCATGATTTCACCATCTTCCCCCATTCAGTATAAAATTCTCACCATTAGAGTCAGTACTTTCACATTTAATAAGTTTTTCATTGGAATGTACGATTTTAGAACTGGATTCTTTGAAATCACATGGCACCATCTTTCTCCCTACTCACTATCTCATTGCTGCCCGCCAGATCTCCCCAAACACACACACACATTTTACAGACTACAACAATAAAAAGGAGGACATTTGGGTAATATCTGCACTCACAGGACTATGTTCTAGTAGGGGGAGGGGCAACAAACAAACACATATAATGGCAAAGTGCAATCAATTTCATGAAGAAACACAAAGGAAAGACACGTGGTGAAGAGGATCAGAACACACCACCCTAAATAGACCACTTTGGCATGAGGATTATTCTGAGCTGAAGGCAACTGAGAAACAGCAGAGAAGAAGATATAAGAAAGCTCCCTGGGGCCGGCCCCGTGGCTTAGCGGTTAAGTGCGTGTGCTCCGATACTGGCGGCCCGGGGTTCGGGTCCTGGGCGCGCACGGATGCACCGCTTCTCCGTCCATGCTGAGGCCACATCCCACATACAGCAACTAGAAAGATGTGCAACTATGACATACAACTATCTACTGGGGCTTTGGAGAAAAAAGGAGGAGGATTGGCAATAGATGTTAGCTCAGGGCCGGTCTTCCTCAGCAAAAAAAGGAGGATTAGCATGGATGTTAGCTCAGGGCTGATCTTCCTCCCAAAAAAGAAAAGAAAGAAAGAAGGCTCTCTGCCCTGCCCCTATTTGCCTAAAAGCAAGACATAAATTCGTAAAGGAGTCTCCCTCCCCTCTCCACAGGAAGGACAGAAGTTAATCACCGGAGACAACCGTAGACCCTGACCTGCTCTGAGACACTCCAGAGGGATCTGCACAACAAACCTTGTCACTAGCCCTCATCTTCCATCAGTCCCCCAGGCATTTACCTGCCCACATTGTGCCACCCCGAGACACTCAGAGTCCTTGTCCTGTGTCTCACCGCTTCTGTACAAATTTGTTGTTCTTTGGTTAAAATGTTAAATAAGCCCAAATTCTAACCATATCTTTGAGTTACTCATCCCTGAGTTTCCCTGCATGCACGCTCACTGCATGCATTAATCAACTGTTTGTTTTTCTCTTGTTCATCTGTATTTGTCAGTCTAATTTGCTGGGCCCCAGCCAGAGGACATAGGAAGGCAAAGTAAAAAAGTTTTTTCCCCTAGAGTTTTATCCCCTAGAGTGATAATGTGGTAACAATGCATGTCACTGAGGGGAAAGAGTTACTCCGGGAGTGCCTGGGCAGCTATCCAGGAAAAAGTAAGTTGGGTACCTCTCTTGTGCCTTATATGCAAATAAATCCTAGATGGATTGCAAATTTAATTTGTCTGTAAAGAAACCATAAAAGTACTAAAAGAAAACTGAGAAGACTTTTTTTTTTATTATCTTTGAGTGGAGGGATGACACAAAATCCAGAAACCATAAAAGAAAATATTAACTCACTTAATAGCATAAAAATAAAACTTTATGCACAAGAAAAAATATAGTAACGTTTCACAAAGAAATAATTGTCATAATAGAAGTCATTAAAGAAAACATCAAAAACCCAATGGAAAATGGGCAAAGGATATAAACAGAGTTTACAGGAAAGGAAATACAAACGGCTTTTGAAACTATGAAAAGATTCTTAGCTTTACTCATAATAAGAATACAAATTAAAGCCTATATTAAAATTCCACTTCACAGCCAAAGATTTAAGCTAGATAAGACTTTGCAGGATAGTACTCTGCATCGGTGAGAAGATAGCTTGGCACAGACTCCATGCGGGCAGGCTGTGTCATATCCATAACAAAACAGAAGACGCACAGACCCTGGTCCCGCAGTTCTACTTATGGGAATGCACCCTCTAAATACACTCTGAGTCAGGCCAGCAACACCACCGGTGATTGCAGCAAGGTCTTTAGTAGACTGACGGGAAACAATCAACGTCTATCGTAGGGGCCAGTTCAGTAGATTATGGTACCGCCACAAAACTGACCGCCAACATGGCGTTGTTGATGGCGCCCTGTGCCCTCTCACCTCCCCTTTCCTCCTCAGCTCCCTCCAGGCCAGCTCTTGTTCCCACAAGCTGCCCCTTCCATGGCACCAAATCGAGGGGCAATCTGCTGCCCTCACTCCCTGGACACACTTGCTTTTCTAGACCCCACGCTCCTCCTACGTCCTCTGCCCTCCTGGGTGATCAGTCCTGGTCAGTTTCTTGCCTTCTCCGTGATGCAGCCTCTAAATCGTGGAGAGCCCAGGGCTCTGTCCCCCCCACCTCCTC